ACATGGGGTGGGGATTGTCTCGACAGGTATTAACAAGTTCTTTTAGAAATGCAGACTTAAACTCCTCTTGAGCGGCGCCATATACAGCTACCAGGCTCCAAAGGAAATTGTCAGACTTGTTTCAAAGGTGGAATTTGATATGATACTCCCCCTTTGACGTGGACAATAGTTGCAAGTACGTAGAGTTAATACCTAGCAATATTCCACCAGACCTCCCAGTCGGCGGTAAGACGTGCCATTCGTAGTCCAAACCACATGAGAAGTGGTCCAGATCACGTGTTGGAAAGTCACGTTTGCCCGCCTCAGTGATAGCCACGAAGTCCAACGCATGATCCTTTACACAATCGGCAATGTGTTTGTGTTTAGCCAAGTCACCTAGACCTCTGCTATTCCAAAACATGCCTCTCATGCTGAACCAATTTTTTGTTTAGAGACCTTTGCCTTCTTAGAAGAGCGCCCTCTTTTCTTTCCTGAGTTAGACTTATTTTTATGCACCGACGCGACAAGCTCACAAAGCATAGTGTCGCGTACAGTATCGTCAAGGTCTACTTCAGTCGTGTCTTTAACCAAATGAGAGAGAAGCTTGCCTTCATGATTGGCATCAGCATCCTCATCCTCCTCATCTGACACGAGAGGGTCAACAAAGCTCGACAACTTAGGAGCAACCATAAGCCGGTCGAACTCCACTTGTTTAAGGGCCCTAACCGAAAAGTCTATCTCTTTCTTATTACGTCCTAGTGACACTCCAAGTCTAGTGATATTTGAAGATACTTTGGATTTATCAAAAGACATAAAAGATTTGCGAGAGGGTGTACCTTCGGAGTCGAGGTTGCGCGCAGCCGTCCTACGCATGGCCTTCACCATAGAGTCCTCGTCAGTGGCTGCTGAACTGTCAGTCCCGACGTAATGACGCCCGCTGCGCCTCAACGGCGACGGAGTAATATCGGCCGCTGAGCTTGTCCCGACGACTCTGAGAGGCGGAGTAGACTGTTGTGGTGGTGAAGAAGAAGATCGCAGGGGCTGCTCCTCAGCCTCCTCGGGACCGGAAGCTGACGCCCCCTGGTGACGGAGGTGTAGATGATAACGCGCGGAGCTCCGCCCTGGCAGACTCCTGGCAAGCATGAATGGACGGGGAGAAGATTACTCCCCGTCGAGTCAGAGAGACAGGTGTAGGCGATGGTGGTGGCGATGGAGCGCTCGCATTCACCACAGTGGTTGCCATCCCCTCCGGTATGGGACGCATGTGACCCCCGTCGTCGAGGTGCGGCGGCGCCAACCAGTGAGTCGGTGAAGGCGGCGTCGAGGATCGGGGCGCCAGCGTCGTCGGAGAAGCAATGTTAGAGGAAGTAGCCGGCACCGGCGAAGAAGACCCCATGAGTGACGAAGAAGCAGCTGTGGCAGGTAAGCCTCGATGAGGGTTCGACGGTGTGACGGCAATGGCCATCTGCATGGGTACCACTCCGCCCGAGGTAGGAGGGGCTGAGGTGTTGTTGGATGATGAAGAAGTGGGTTTGGGCCTTTTACTGGTATCATTGCCCCCCACTGTGTCATCCCTCTCATGTCCCTTATCGCCTCCTGAATCATCCCCATGCTCCCATACTCGAGGCACAAAATCAGCATCAACACGAAAGTCCTCTTTTTCCAGGCTGTACCGGAACTCATAACCCTTCCTCTGAATGACCACGTCAGAAGAAAGAGAATCAATTGTGCTTCTCTTGAAAGCATCAAGGTTCAGCACCGCTACCTGAATACGAACAATTCCTCTGCGACGCAACCATAGAAGATCGACATCCAGAGTAGCTCCAATAACCGAGCCGACCGCCCAAAGACCCAAGAAATGACGAAGAGCGTGAGGCACACCGTGCACATGTACCCAAATAGAAATAAGCTCGAAACGATGTGGTATCGCGTCTGACTTCCAAGGCTTGAACTCGATGGTGACATTGTGAGACTTGAGGAAAACTGCAAAACCGGTCACCCTCTGCAAAACCTCCTCACTAGGAAACGACATCAGAAATGCATCCTCACCATGTGGCACCGTCTCCCAATTCCAATCATGCTGAACCTGAGCAATCTTAGCCACCTCCAACTCCACAATATTGGCAGAAAGTGAACCACCAGAAATCGAAACCAAAGCTATCCGTGAGTCTTGCTGTGAGAGATCCTCCCTACAAACATTATCAGGCATCTGAAAAAACGCCATGGTTTCAGTTCCATAACCACATAGCATCGCCGCCGGCTTTGGTAGCTTTAAGGCAGGGCACCGTCTCATGGTCATAGGGTGATTGGTCTTGTTATAGATGAAGCAATATTGCTGCGTCTCGCAGTCGTCCGCCTTGTGTCCAGCAGATTGGCATTTGAAACACCAAAGCTTTTTGGGTACTGATGCCTCTTGGACAGCACCTGTAGACTGAATATGCTGGGCGTCCAAAGGTAAAGTTGCAAACTGCATCTGCGTTGCTGTCACAGCGGGCAAACGGGGCATCTGAGCCAAGGATTGCACCGGTTGGGCAGAAGCAAAAATAGGAGCAGCGGTGACCACTTGCGGGAGAGCAGGATGTTGAGTAGCTGCACCTTGACGGGGCTTGATGCGGCCGCCCTTACCACCCTTCTGCTTGCGCGGCCGGGCTGCGGCAGGAACCCCGGCGACTGCATTGCCGTAGACAGGCGGACCGGCGGCGAGGTCTTGAAACTGCTGTTGCGTCACATCAGGCAATGCATGGTACCGTGGAGGAGCCGACATGTGTTGTTGTTGCTGCACATACCCGCCTCCAGCATGAAGGAGGAGCTGCGGTTGTTGAGGATGGTAACCAGCAAACTGATGTGGCTGCGTGGCCTGGACGACCTGCGACGACGGCAGCTGCACCGGTGCGGGATGCGACGGCGTAAGCACGGCCTGAGGCGCGGCCGTTTGGACAGCCTGAATTGGCTGGTACACGCCTGGTGCGAGACCGGGAGCCCCACCCGAGGGAGAGCGGGCGATCGGCGGCGGCGCAGAGCTCGGAGGTTGGCGGCCGGCGGCGGCCCCCGACAGCGCGGAGGAGGCGTCCCGACGCGACATCACAGGAGAGCGAACAACGGCCGCGAACGAACGAGTGGGATTAGGGTTTTCTTCTGGCTGCACCCGTTTCCACATGTGGCCTAGCCAACGCCCGAGATTGGCCATCCGTAATGGACGTCCAAGATGCATCGGGCCGCGAGCCAGACTTGGAGCTGCCGAAGAAGTCGGATCGAAGGTTTGAACCGCGGTCGGCTCGGCGGGCTGCACGGCCAAGCCCGACGTGAGCGGCGCAGCTGTAGACTGCGACGAGGACGCCCCAACAGCGAGCCACTCCGGCGGCAGAAGATGGCCCAGTGTCCTCGTTGGCGACATCCGAGGAGGCGGGATGGGTCCGACCCACGGCTTGACGAGAGGCCTAGTCAAGCCAGCCACCCTGTGGACGCCGCGAGTTGCCGGAGTATGAGACCTTAGACTATTCACCTCGCCGAGCGCCGTCTTGTCTGCATCCGGGACGGGAAGCACGACGCCCTCTGCCTCCTCCGGCGATGAGACTGCAACCGCGTCCGACCTACACACAGAGAGCACCTCACCTGTATGTCGAGAATGCGGTTTCTCCCACACCCTAGATGCGGGCGTTGGGTATCCTATATCCACCCAAAACTCTTTAGCCAGCTCGTCGTCAGTCTTCCTCCGACGAGCCACGCCAGACTGCATGGGATGGACGTCGGTGGACATGTCCTCGGCCAACGGTGCAGCCTCCTCCGCTCCCGCTTCAGCCAGGCAGGAAAAACGAGATCCCAAGCCACCCAACGGGGGCGCCGGCGACCAGCACGGCGCCAGGGTCAGGCGTCGCCTTGAGGCGATCCGCATTACGCGGAGGTTGGCTGTCCTCCTTAAGTTGTGGTGGCAAGCAGATGCGTAGGGTATTTTCTGACAGAAAGCATTCCTGCATTCTGCGGAGTGATATGGTAAGGGATTAATGGCATTTAAACATGACAGAATTTGGACCCGAGTCCTGCTGCTAGGGTGTTGGTAGTATTATTTTAAGAAAACAAACTTATCAAAACACCGCCTTGAGGACACTGAGCTTAAATGTGGGAGTGAAATGTGTCACTAGTCAATTAACTTAAGAGAAGGTGCAGACTGAAATGGGTTGCCGATTTTATGCATACTGAGTTACTGACGGTTCATGGAACATCACACTCCTTTGACAACATTTCTTTCCGGTCGACGTTGATGAAATACTGAAAATCAAACCCTCTAGTAGAATGGAAAAGGACTGCGTTGCCTGACAGCCAGACAAGCATGGAATGTTCACTGTCAGATCAGCATATAGGATGGCTCAGGATCGTCTCATGGCAACACAGGAGATTGGCGAGTCGAGTGGACGTCCAGATGGGTCAAGACCAGCTTGGAAGTTGATGTGGAGCTGCGGCGCCCCACGTAAAGTATGGGTGTTTGCGTGGAAGGCTGCGAGAGGGGCCTTGGCTACCAGAGAAAATATGTTGCGCCCCATCACCTTGATCATGATGTGATCTGTACCATTTGTGGGCAAGAGACTTGTCCAATGCCAACATGCACGTAATCTCTGGACTATGATGAGATTAGTTTGGGACCTTCCAGCTGATGACTCACTCAAAGGTATGGAACCGGAATGGCTCCTTCTTTGCCTCCAGCAATTACATGAGACCCAGCGTATGCTCCCGCTCATGCTACTATGGCGTGTATGGCATGTTCGAAACGAACTTACAAACCACTGATCCCGGTCGAGGCATCAAAGAAATTTCTCTGTAGCTATGTTGATTCCTTGCTACTTATCAAACAGGGGCCAGAGGTGGACATCCTCAAGGGGAAGCAACCAGCTCTTTTATCCAACAATGGTGCTCAACATAAGCTGGAGCCTAGCGTACAACCTAGTTGGATTCCTCCCCCATGTGGTGTTGCAAAGCTCAATTTTGACGGTTCGTTTGTACAGGCAGATGGAACAGCCAGTGCCGGTATGGTCCTACGTGATCACACAGATGCGGTTATCTACGCAGCATGCAGATGGATCCGGAACTGCCCGGGCGCACTGGAGGCAGAGCTATCGGCGTGTGAGGAGGGCATGAAGCTGGCGTTGCACTGGACTCCCTTGCCTATCCAGGTCGAGACAGACTGTGCGGAGATCTTGAAGCTCCTTGAATTAGGTTCAAAGGAAAGATCAAGGAATATGTTTCAGGTGGCGGCCGTCTCAGAGATGTTGCAAGAAAGATCAATGCAAGTCACAAAAATAGGTAGATCACAGAATAAGGCTGCACATGCCATGGCAGCAATGGGTCGTGGTCAGCAGCATACGGCTTGTTGGTTAGCAAATTCCCCCTAGGAGATTAGCATTGTCATTTCAAATGATTGTACTCTCACTATTGATTAAATGAAATGAAATGCTTTCCCCCCGCAAAAAAAAACTTAAGAGAAATGTTATCTACTAGCTGACGTTAGTTTTTTGACGATTCCCAGTGAAGGGCTTGCTCGCTGTCGGATGGCCAACACGAATCCCAAAGCGATGGAGCGGCATCAGGTCAGCTGAAGCCATCTTTTGACCTCTTTAGTACTACGACCTTGTCCTCTTAGCCGCCATACACCGCAGCTCCACTACCCATTTCTCTCTATTAGAGATATATTTGGTAGTTAGAAATTTGTCACGTGTTTCAGGAACAAAATTCCTAAACTTTGCCATGTGTCCATGGCAAATTCTTAAATTTGCCGTCTGTTCAAAGAAAAAAAAATCCCCAACTCTGCCATGTGCCCATTACAAAATTCCAAAAGTTGCCATGTTTTTAAAAAGAAATTTCTTAAATTAGCCATGTTCAATTTTTTTATAGATAGCATGACAATTATACTTTTTTAGACCATGAAAATTTATTAATTAGACCATGGTAGTTTTTTTGTTATTAGCATGGCAATTTCATTATTAAGACCATGGGAAAGTAATTATTTTGAACCATGGCAAATTTATTGTTTGTGCCATAGAAAATTTTATAGTTGGACCATGGTAAATTTTTAGGTCGACCTTTCGGGCCGTAAACCAATTAGTGACACCCGAGCAAAAAGGCAAAGACGGTATAGCTCCTGAGGGCACTAGTTGGGCTCCGATTTCAGCCAGAACCAAGTTTTTCTTAACATAGTACAAACGCATGCGCTCATACATGCATACACTCACCCCCTATGAACGCTCGCATGCACACCCTATTTCTATGAGTACTGCCGAGAGATTTATGGTATCTCGCACGTCGGGTCACTAGCTGGTTTCCATCCATGGAGAGAATTGAATACCACCAACACTTGTTATTAGCTCACCAACTGTGGTATTCCTGCCTCTCGGGTGAATATTGTGTGATTTATAGCCCTTGACCTTCTTGCAAATCACAAAGGTAGCGCACTCAAGAAGTTTCCACTTATAACGTTTTGTCCAGACAAAGACAAAGTCAAAGACAAGCAACAGTTAGATCATGAAGGACCCCGGGGGCAACTGACGTCTGACGAGAACATGGCCCCTGCAAGAGTTGTTGATGTGCCCCTATAGCTGGTGGACTCCGAGTCCGAGTCATCGGTTCGGCCCGTCCTATGGATGTTGGGTCGAGTTCATCTTCTTGGCTATGCCGAGGGGCATGGCATCATCAATCTTGAAGGCGTGTCTCAAAAAAAATCAATCTTCAAGGTGAAAAAACAAGATCCCGTCTTTAGTGGTTAGATCTGCGACAAGCGGCGCTCCCTTTCTGAAGGCGTTGTTGTTGAGGAGCATTTTGCATTGCTCTTATGTTGTCTAGAGATGGTTGGTACCAATGGTCATTCTCATATTTCGTCAATCATTTTTTTTGAGCTCTTTTATGGTACCCTGGAATGAATATTGGCCGTTCATTTCTGATGATCCAACGCCTCAAAGGGATGTATACTGCTTGGATCGGGTTAGCAGTACAGCGTGCACTGCTTGTTTAACGTGAGCAGTATACAAGATTTGAGGGCAATTTGGGAAGATATTTTCAGCTCGTCAGATGGATTGATGCGACCCACTCGTTCTCTTTCTCATCTGTTCTGTCGCCGCCCGCATGAATCTCCGCATGCCCATGTCCCGTCCCTTCCTCGATCAGCCCGTGCTCGGTGGCTTGGAGCAGGTTTCACCTGACGTCCCCTACCCGTCCTGCTCTTCGTCGCCAGGCCGTATGTGAGGCGCTGGCTTAGACTGCTCATCGCGGCCTGACTCATGACGGTGGTGGCAAAAACACCGGACGCCGCTGACGAGCTCGCCGCCGTCGAAATTAAAGAAGGCCATGCCATACAGAAATACATCATCCCCCGCCACAGCTCCCAGGCAGCAATACGTAGGCGACAGGTGCTCACGGATAGTTTAGTAATTGGTATTCACCTTCGTATAGTTGTCCATGTCCAACACAAATTCAGGTTTTAAGTTGTAAAGTATATATTAGTTCAGTCTGTTGGCAATCGCAGTGATGCTCGGTTATTTCCAAGGAGCGGCAGTTAGCAGTAGCACTTGCAAGAAATTTTTAAGGCCACTCAGTTTCTACGATGAAATCATACCACATATACGGATATACCCAATCATAGATAACTGAACTTCTAATCCATAAGAAGGTAGCAGATGTTCGAGGCCTGCCGCAAGGTCACCGATGTGCGAGCCTGCAAGGTTTACTAGAGGAGCATGGCGATTGGACGGAGCCAACTAACGCAGTGGCAGCGGCAAGAGGGACCGAGGGGAGTTGAACAGCCGGCAGGGTGTGTGGGAACGGCGCATTGGGATTGAGGTGAACCGTGGCTGCTTGGGGCCGCGGTGTGTGGGGGAGGCGGAGTTTTAATGTGAAAACTTAGGGTCTAAACTACCCTCAAGAAATCAACGGTGAGATTAGATATATACTGCTCCCTTTCTCCTAGCAGTATAGGGTACCATAAAAAAGCTCTTTTTTTTACCCTTCAATTTTTTTCTTATAGAGGTTGGACGTGTGCTTTCAATGCTTATTTGAGCCGATAAAATCCATCCTTCATCGAAAAAGACGCTACAACGAGATGAAAGTTTTGTGAACACCAGTCCGTCCAATAGCAGCCGGCCTACCGAAAGTCAAAACTTGCATACGTGCTACATAGATCTCCCGGAAAAGGGAACGCAGTCAAATGCGGCCCACGCCACGACGAGCAGAAGGAACGAAGAACCATTGCACACTCCCATCTCCCGCCTCTCGCTTATATTCCACCCGGCCAAACAATAAGTAACACCTAGTCAATCACGTGGCGTCTATACAGCTAGCTTCCCTGCAGCCAGTCAGACCAGACAGGCAGAGACTCCCCCGCGCTCTACGAGTACTCACAGAGTCAGAGTACCGGTAAGAAGGACAGGAGCGGGGAGGAGAGGAGAGGAGATCGATGGCGAGCAGCGTGGGGGGAGATGCTGGGGAAGGGGAGTGGCTCAAGGTCGCCGAGCTGAGGGCCATGGCGGAAGCCCAGGACCCGCATGTCCAGGTACGCTCCTTCATCTTCGGTAGCTCCTTCGTCGTCTTCCTTTCGAGGGTTGATCTGTCGATGCATATACCTGCTTTGACGGATTTCTGCCATCTCACAGTGGTCGATCTGATTCTGCAACCAACCGAAAATCCCCGTCCCCGGCCGTGTTCTTGTTGTTTCTTTTGCCCGGTCGATCCAACACAACTGTTCTTCATGACCACTGGGATGGATGCTTCCGTTTTCTTGCTATTCCTAGTCTGCCACTCTGGCCTTCTCCTGGCCTTTGGGAGCAGAACACAAACAACAGACTGTATTACTGTAGTATTTTATGGCCGGTAACATGTCACTTTAATTGCCCAGTAGTGCGTACAGTGCTATTGACGTTGTCACCAGTCACCGGTTAACATCTTGTTAGTAGTTGGTTGTATGGAAAAATCAATTGATTAAGCCAGCTGATGGGGATTCTTCCTAACAAACTGATCGTTGACCGAATAAGCAAATGCTGCAGCACAAGTGATGGGAACGGGTGTGCCGCCCGCTTCACCTCTCTCTAGCTAGCAAACGCAAAGTCGTGGCCACGTGAAGCATGGCCACGATAATTATTCAAGCAAGGATATACTAGTTACAACGGACCGAATATGCCCGAATCATCAGCGCACATGGCGCGTGAAGCTAGAACATTTCAGCAGTAATTTTTTTGATTCAGTTCAGTAAATTCAATGATCCAACGGACCGAACGTACTGATCACGACGCGTGCAGGAGGTGGACAACCTGACGCTCCGGCGGTTCCTGCGGGCGCGTGGCCATGCCGTCGGCAAGGCCTCGGCGATGCTCCTCAAGTTCGTGGCGTGGAGGCGGGAGGCCGTGCCCGGTGGCGTCGTGCCGGCGGAGCTGGTGCGGACGGAGCTGTCGCACGAGATGGCCTACATGGGCGGAGCCGACCGCGCCGGCCGCCCCGTCATGCTCGCCTTCCCCGCCAAGCACTTCTCTGCCACCCGCGACATGGCCGGCTTCAAGCGTACGTTCACACATCTCACCTTCACTCTCATGATTTCTTGCTGGCTAAATGGAATGGAATTTGAAGATGCATGTTTTGGAGAGGAACCTCTGGGGCTGGTTAGTAAATATTCCGTATCTCCGAATCACAACCGTTACGCAGTCGTCTCACGTAACCACAGTCCAAGGGTTGTACCTTGTCAACACTTTTTTTTAGGGGGCCTTGTCAACACTTGCATGTGGGCTGAATCAACTGGTCAAAACAGACTCTATTACTATGAGGCCCAAGTGCTTCCTCCAATCCAAAGTCAAACTTCCGGATGTTTGACAAAATTTATGTTAAAAAATGTGTTGATACCTATAACATTCAATAAGTATAAAAACATAGTTTATGATGGAACTAATGGAAATAATGTAATGTTGTAGACACTGATATATATTTCAATAAACTTGATCAAAGTTGAGAAAAGCTTAACTTAGGACAAAGCTAAAACTTCAGTTAGTTTGGAATAGATGGACTAGTGATTATTTGGATGAAAAATCATAAAGGTGTGACTTCGAAATATTTACCTTTTTTGAAGAAATGAAACCATCACATGATATATACAATACAAAAACATTTGGAGCGGCCATTGATACCATTTTCTTCTCCTTTCTGCAGGCTATATTGTCTACTTGTTCGACGCCATGTGTGCCAGGTAGCGCGTTACCACACCCACATGTCTGTCGATCAGCATGATTTGTGGTAGAGCTTAGCATGACACTGAAATCGGATTGTTGTAGGATCCCTCGAGGGCAGGAGAAGTTTCTGTGCGTCGTGGATCTAAAGGGGTGGGGGTACGCCAACTGCGACGTGCGCGCCTACATCGCGGCCA